GTTGACATTTCGAAAGTACGTTCCGCAGTCAACAAATCTTGTTGAATTTACCGTTTATCCTTGTCTATCTTATTGTCACTCTGTATAATTCCATGATTACCGGAGTTTTAAATAGTTACGACGCAACAGGTATTTGCGAAATGTCAATTAGGCAGATTACCTTGAAAAACATTGCTGACGTATTTCTGATATAGTTTTTTGCAAATTTCTCAGTTTTTAATAACAATCAATTTGGTTTACTATTTTTTGTACTCCTATAACAGCGCCAGACACCTCCAGAGGAATGACGCCAATTTTGAACCACCCTGTAGTTATAGCACCGGGCAAAAAAGGTAAAAAAAAGAACTGCGGGTGTCAACACAGTAAAACCAAAAAAAAACCTATATTGAACGCTCCGCATAGCGCAGACATGCAAGGCGTAAAGTCATATAAAAATGGGCCTTTAAATGGATGATTTACACTTACCTTCACGTCTATTAAAATAAAGTCCCGAAAAACAAAGCTGTTCGAATCATCATTTTGTTCATTCGTACATTTTATAATTGCGTTGCACATTGTCAAAACTTCACCAACGCTTGGCCAGTATTTATGACATTTTGCCCTCCCCTTCTCCACAAGAGTTGTCAGCATTACTATGAGTGTAGATTTTTGCTCCAGCACCATCTGCCAAAAGTCTTCAGTTGTAGTTTGCAATGGACCTAGCAAATACAAACATTTTATTATTGCAATTTATGTGTTCAGAATTAGTCATTATAAATTAACGTATAATTAATACATTCTCACGGCGCCCTTTTTAGTTTATTTTTTTTGAGTATTAAAGAAATGTTTTTTAATCACATTGCCGCAAAATCTGATTTTCTAGGATACATAAAAATATAATACCGAGAATATCAGAAACGTGTACCCGATCAAACACTTTGTTTTCTAAATAAATTATTTAAAGAAAACACAAAAACACAACAGCCAACAACAATTGACCATGGCCTCGCAACGTACTCTTGATATTCTTAGATCTGAGATGCCAATAATAACAATCAATGATACATATTACATTTCAAAGGCTACGGTAAAAAAAAATGAAAGAATTTCTCCAACTACCTGTTTTTTAGAATTTTTCGAAAGTTAGACAGATTTTTCATAGGCTCAACAATGCGCAAGTTTACACCCCTATTTATGCGACCTCGTAATATTGTGGTTTGCGAGATTCCAATGATGAATCTCATAAATTGGGCACCCTGTACGCAGGGTGATAGTGGGGCATATTTAGACAGTACGGAAAATGTAAAGAAAAAAATCGGTTTATTACTCGAAGAATTGCTCTTGAAGACATAGTGTTAATTTTCCTATTATGCACCTAAATTTTACAAGTTTCGAAATCTGGTTACACTTCAGTAAAGTTTTTTTTGTGTTTTATACATATCCCTCTTAATTTTCCACACTTCAGGAAATTCCGTGTAAATGCCAGGCAATTCCATAAAATTTTCTTTCTGCATATACATACATGGTCACAAATACTCGTAAATCGGCACGCAAGCAAACAGCAATCAAAGCCTTTCAAATCAAATTTAAATTTTTATATCGTTTATTTCATATCGTTTCGGCGAGACAACAGCGCCATCATCAGATTTAAAATTCATACAAACTCATAATTGGTAAACATTACATTCTTTTAGATCTTTGCAGTCTTGAAACATTAAAAGTTTTTTTTAAGACCTAAAAGAATGTGATGTTTACCAATTATGAGTTTGTATGAATTTTAAATCTGATGATGGCGCTGTTGTCTCGTCGAAACGTTATGAAATAAACAATATACAAATGTTTATTTCAAAGTTTGTATGAAACCCAGGAAGGAAAAGAATATAATAACAAGTACACGCAGTCAGCAAAATAAATAAATAAAAAATCCATTTAATGTTGGCAGGTTTGGAAACCAACATTTGCAAGCTGGTAGCTTCAAAAGTTGCGGGATGGCCACGCTGTATGTAAGACGTATCGCAAGAAATGAAATTGAACCATTTCCGAACTTACGGCCTACGTTTTACGATACGGCGACTATAAATCAGACTCAGACTATAAGATCAGTCGTCTTCGAAGGTTGGGTTGATTGAAAATACGGTTCTTACGAACACTATTGTGTCAGCATTATTACATCGCCGTTTTCGAACCCATACAATAATATTAGAGTCACCTTGGTTTGATTATTAATTACTATTCTAACGGTCTCAAAAATATAGATTTAAACAGTTCTACGTTAAGTTATAATAAATATTTCTCTAACGCCTTAAAATGATATTAGATACATACCTTGAGTGGCTATATATCTATTTACCATGTTGGTACCGGGTATCTTCATATCCACGAAATTCGCGTTAATATAATCACCACATGAATTTTGTAGTACGACTCGAGTTTGATCATCTGCAAAAAATAAATGCATCTAGATAAACTTCTATGTTAGTCAGAGGGTGCAACGGATGCACTCCAATGCAAGTTATGACTTGTTTTGTGTCAATTGCACATCTCATAATTGTTTTAAGCAAGTGTGGGACTGTTTTAGATTCAATTTTTTTGATTTTTCGTATCTTGTGTGTGTCACTAAAGTGTATTTGTATTGAAATGTCCCCTGTGTGAAATGTGTATTTGTATGAATGAAAAGAAGTGAGTTTGATGAGGTCAAAATTGTCACCTTGATGGAAGAAGGGTATTTCCAGTGTGGAGCTATTGTAGACAAAAGTACATGTATACGAGTTGGAACGGGTCATTTTCAATTTCTATATTTCTTGACCGGTAGTCACGAGAAACCAAACAATTTCGATAGGTACAATGCGGATATTTGATTTTGTCCGTTGGAATAAATAAACTGTGTTAAAAATGTGACAGGTCCATTCATGTGAGTAGACAATTTATATATTTACCATAATAATTGATAGATCACCTGGTAACAATAAATTATATTTTCTCAAAAAATGTCCAAAACATTTTGTTCTCCATTGACATTCTTTCATATTATTACGAAACTATTATTTGTTTAACTTTTATTAATGTTTATAGTCAATACTTACATGGTGAAATATCTCGGTAGCGATTTTTATTAACATTAGCTGGCTTGCTCGCTTCATTACAAGATAGATCTGGGTGCTTCCTATACAGTGTTTCATACCTGGTAACTAATGCACCGCTGGCTAATCCGTCAGCAAGGAAAAGCATGCTTTGTTCCAACAGATTTCCTACTAAAAAATACAGACTACTTCACTAAATGCAGAAATGGAAAAACATTGAGACAATATAAATGTAATAAAGTGTCATATCATACGCGTTAACCATAGAATATGTTCAGACAAGAGCGTCTTTCGGTTACATATTAAAGAGTATTAACTTAGTAAACCGATCAAGAACAAACATTTCTTCAAGCTTGCTACAGTTTATCATGATTGCTTTGTTTTCCACCTATTTCAAAGTACTTCGGATAGAATCTCGAGACAATACATATTTATACAAGGTGTTCACATACATATTTATACAAGGTCCATGAGGAAGGAGCACTATTTTAACCACGTATTCTAGATAAATTTAATTTCAAAAATACAAAATGATTAATGTCTTAAAAACGGATGGATATATTTTAACGGAATTTTCCAGGCATCAATAGCTAGGTGAGAGGCATGTCTAGCAATAAAATAGTTTTGCTAATTTGTGCCAGTGGCGTGCGTACCTGTAGGATACTACATTTGACAAGTAAAAAATGGTACGCCGCAGTATTTTTTTACTATTACAATTAATTTTTCAAATTTCTTGTTTCATTCCAAATAAAAAATGTATGACTCGGTAAAACATGCGCCTGTTGTCTTGAATTTTTTAAATTAAATTTCATCAAACTGTAAATCCGTAACGAAGCATTTTTGGACTATCGTTTACAAAGCAAACTCGGATCATTTTCGGACCTAGTATACGTGGTTAAAATAATGCCCCTTCCCCATAAAACACTTTGTATAACTGAATTAGCTATCACTCACCTAAAGGAGCACCAACATCATTGGCTGGTACATACTGATATGGTGGTTCTTCGTATTCTTCATCTTGATAAAGAACATTAGGACGGACGGTTAACACCAACTTTCCTAGATGCCAAAATGTATTAGAACAAATGTGATTATAAAGTTATGGAAAATGTAATACTGAAATTAGATGTTAGTAACCTGTGGTTGAACATTTAGAACATTCCAGTATCTCCATCGATAAATTTAATAAACCATTTTTCCTCCATACTGGTTTAGTTCAACATTAAAAAACAAAATGTAACATTAACATATTCGGATGTGTTATGCCTTATTAATTCACGATAACTTTTTGTCTACATTCCTTCAATACAAAAATCTTGAAAACCACATAAAAAGTTCACGGTTGAATTTTAATTAACAAAGCAGATAATATCTGCTTTGATTTCGAAACCTGAACAAACAAATCCACTAGTCTAAAAAGTTTCCAACAACATTCCCGGTAGAATGTCCTGGAAACTTCTAGCATGGATTATTCTAGGCTTTAAAACTTCTAGTGGAAACCATTATTATAAAATTTGACATGTAAACGTGAACAGGAAAGAGCAACGGGCAAAGTATTACCCTGATCTATTATTTCTTTGGTAGATAATATTTCTACGCAAAGCTGGACTATTTAGCTTAACCGCCAATTTCTTTTCGACTGCTTTCAACAATTCTTTTGCTAGGATACAACACGCATCGTAAAAACATATGCGCGGCATTTTGAGAATGCGGTTTGAGTGAAAAGTGCTTGAGGCTAGTCCCAAATAACATCTTTCCTCGTACCCTTAATAGTCCAGTCGGATTAGATTTTTCCAGGCACTAAGTAGATGAAGGTAAAAGATTATTGGAAGTTGTTTTTTCCAGCTGTGGAACATTGCTTAAATCAGTGGTCGGGGAACTTTTTTAATCACTACCCCAAAATATGTTTGTGTAAGTTGATATTACCCCCATGGCAAGGAGCAAAAAAACCGAAATAGCCTCTTTTTAGCATCTTTCATATTATAGCCCCCCATGATAATTATATAAATATATTGTACCGTGGATGGCCGAGTATTAAACT